AATTGAGTAGATGGAAATCTTTTAGATTTTGCATTTATAAAGAAACTTGTTTGAAAAACAAAATTGGGTTTTGTAAAGCTTGAATTTCTCTATCTTTTGACATAAGAGAAAATTTTTTGATGATTAAAAAAAGGGAGAAAAGGTCACTGAGATTGAGTGCAATTTAGCCTGGGATATCCGTTATATATGTATATGTATATATGTGCTTAGCCTCTTGGGTACCGCTTGTCTTCAACGGAAGACATGCAGAACGAAAGAATTTCTTTTTTCGTTCTGTCGTGTCGATAAACAGCTGTGAAACGACATGTTCATTGGCATAGCTATATCGATCCATGTTATATGTACGACAAAATATGCATGAATACAAATGATACAAGACGATCGAACGCAAGAAAGTGATTTTTCGATTTTTTTCATGTAATTGTAGAGAACGCAAGAAACCACCAGTATCCAAGAGGTTGAATGTGCGTGCACACTAACTTTACTTCATAAGGAATGAACTAAGTACAAATTTAAACTATAAAGTTTTACATATATATAGAAAGAACGAGAAGAAATAGGGATCAATCAAAGATCAAAGAAAGATGAAAAGTAGATAGGACATAATACAAGATAGTAAGTATGTATACATGTGACATCACTGTAACATACTCCCATATTGGATGAAAATATGTGTCCTATCAACATTGTCTATAACAAAATAACACACAGATCGAGATATATAAGAAAGAAAACGAAAGAAAAGGAAAAAAATTAGCATTCAAGTTCAACATATGAATATAGACGAACAGTAGAAAATCAAATATAAGAACAAAAATTCAAATAGAAGAAAACAAGTTTAAATGAGTTAATGAATAACTATCACTTGTGTATCTGAAACAAAAAATACATAACAAGAAAAAGGTGAATAAAATAGATAACAATCTAGGGACATAGATCAATCCATATTTCAATAAGTTGAACAAATGTATACTATGGACTTCGATGATTGTATCGGTTGATTATTAATGAATATTGTTGAATTTCAATGATTCTCATTTGTATTAGTATTACTGAATAGAATTTGAATTAACAAGTGAATACATAACTGTTATTTATTTATTGTGATAACGATGATGATAACGACATGCATTTGAATTATATCCACATTGTTGTGAATAAAATTCGTTATAATGATCAGTTGAAAATAAATTTCTAGTTCATATTCATATTTAGATAATAATTTTTTATCTTTAATACCAATATACAATGATGTACGATTCGCTAATGATGATGTTGAAGTGTTTAAAGAATAAAAGTTGCTTGTATGTTCACGAAGAATTCATTTTATTTATGTGATTGTGAATAGATGATCGATATCAGTTCTTATGATTTCGTATTTGTAAAGTTGTTTTCTTTGTTTTAAAGTGCATGTACAATTATATATTTTGTTTTTGTTCGCTAGTTAATTGTTCGAATTGTTTAGATTCACAATCAGAAGAATCTATGTTGATTGATGATGTTTGTTGTTGACATTATTTATTGAGTTGATCATTATCGGATGATATTGCTTCATACGTTGGATGTATTGCTTGTTGTTGAACTGTATCATTTGTTATTGATATATTTGATAAAGTAATTGGTTGTTGTTGATTGTCGATCAGATTTAATTTGAGAAGAAATTCATCTATCGATAAACGATAATATGCATCATAGCAAGTTAATAATTATCGATGTTCAATTTCTTTGGAATTAAATTGATTCAGTTATGGATCAAGATCAATGTCGAAACTTGATCGAGTATGTCGTTTATCTAACCATATGTTAAGTTCTTAAGTCATTACATTTTGTAATGACCATAGGTTATTCGATTATATACTCAGACATGTTTCACCTATACATTGTGAATCATTAGTTGATAAAGTTGGTATTAATTTATGTGGATGGTTTTGATTCCAATAATCTTTGAACATATCTTGAAAATTAATATTATTTGATAATTGAATCTGACCAGATGTAAATAAATTGAATGGAATAAAACTTATCAATTCATTAAGATCTCCTAAATGTAAGTAGTTTTCTCTGGATCGAATAATGGTTTAAAAAATTGTTTAATGAGTAGAAATGTTGGTTCATTTGTAGGTAGTAATTGACAAACTTCGATAATGATCATATATGAAAATAAATTAGGTAATATAATTTCAATTTGTATTAATGCGGGTTTGTTTGGTCGTTAATAAACATTAACTGGTTCCGTGTTTAGGATGAATGTTTTTGAAGATTTTACAGTTTCAATAATATGAAGTAATGTTGAATCCATAGTTCGATAATTGATAACGAATTGTCGGTAATCTAGTGATTAGAATGTTGGATGACGAGATGCAAGGTCATGTTCATGAATTTTTTTTCTAAAAACAGCGCGAAGATTTTGACGTAGTTTTCCGGTGATTATTGATGGTATATGATGGAGTTTCTGTAAAATATCTTAATATTCTTGTGATGATAACATGACTACAAGAAGAAAAAAATATCATAGTTTTCATTGCAAGTAAAACACTAGTAACTTCCCCTATTACGAACGTAATTTCTTGTTGTTCTTTCTCTATCATTCTATCACACGGCTTATTGGGAACATCTTTTCTTTCATAACTCATAACAGTTCTTGTGTCAATGATCATGATGAACCGGCCTCAATCATCTTTGAAAAGTTTGTCAGCATCAATGTATAGAACGTTCGGTGTACTGGTCAATATATATTTTCGAAATTATTTGTGAAGCTAAACGGACAAAGCAATTATGCTGCATATCTTTCCATAGAAGATATGCATGTCTTTCTTTCTACTTGGAAAAAAAAACACAGTTATAAATATCAAAGAGACTATAAATCTTCCATCGTCTTTTCTCTACATATAACGCTTGGTCATGTTCCAGCGACATTAAACATGAGTACTAAGCATGCTATGTTTTTTACGGATATTTGCGTATGAAAATGCTTCACGAAACTTATACAATCATTGAACAACCAAAGTATGGTGATTTCAATTAAAACGATAGCATAATATTGCTAAATTCGATTTGAAAATTGGAAATCCAGAAACTGAGACAGCATACAGTTAAAAGCTTGCTATTTAATAACGTTACCTCTATACAATAGCATGTCGTCACAAATTTTTGATAAAGAAAGTGTATTCACTTTAGCAGACATAACATCAAAGTTCAGAATATTCGAATCGATAGTCGTGAAGGTAAAACTCCAGTATACATGATTTGTCGCTTGTGAATATCCTTTCCTTAGATCGTTTTGCACACTTCGTCAAACAGTTCTGTGAATTGGTTGCAGCTTGTGCAATGCAATCAAAATGAGTTTCAAAGGAAAAAGCCATGGTTTAATAACAATCATTGAGATTTTCTGAACATAGAGTTCTTTTGAACATAAACTGAAATATGCAACAGAATATGGATTTGAATGCTATGTAGGAGAAAAATATTTTTAGACCCAAACGAGGCGGCATTCTTTATTTTTATTTCATATTTCATTTCACTTATATCAATAGAAAAAAGAGTAATGCGACACTAAAACAGGGAACACTAATTAAGAACCAAGTGAAGTAGAAAGCAACTACTATGTGTACAGAATAAATAAAATATTTGGATATGAGAAAAGCATCATATTAATGAGTAAAGTAGGAGAAAGAAGTAGGTAGCACCATAGAGTTCTATCTTTGGGTTGCTGTTATTCCGCCATGCAATCACTTATTTTCGATCAAGAGCTTGTAATAGGCGAAGTGTCGGCTCGATTGATTTCATATGAATTTGAGATTTGGGAAGAGCCAATCCCACGAGAGCATTTTCGGCCGTAGTCAGAAATTCTTCCGAGCCGGACACGTAGACATGTGTGTCTGGACGTAGCTTGCCTTCAACATGGTTTCTTGCAATTGGTTCTTTTTGCGTCAAAATTAAGTATTGCTCTTTTGGAAGCATCCTATGTAATGTGGCAGCAAAGGCAGCATGATTGTCGGTTCGTACACACTGAATTACTGTTGCCGAAGCCACTTTTCCCTGTTGGTTCAACTCTTGGATCAAAGGCATGAAAGAAGCAATACCGATACCGCCACTAATGAATAAATGATGCTTTGCATCACAGGCGAGTGAAAAACTACCAGCAGGAGGTGAAACTAAAACTGTGCTGCCAACTTCACGGTTGCGAATAATTTCGTCCGAGACAATGCTGTTCTGATCAAAATTATTTCCTTGTTTAACAGCCACAGTATAGGTTTGACCATTGTATGGTTCAAGCAGAGAGTAGTGTCCATTATGGAGTACACCATCTTTTTCAATGCGCAATGTAATGTATTGTCCGGAATGATAATGGAACAGTTTTCTACCATCTTCACGTTCCAGCGTCAAAAGATAAATCGGCCCACTTGAGATTGGTTCTTTCTTGAGAACAGTAAATGGAACGAAACGTCTATCCTGTTCATTGTTGCCAAGTTGGGCGTACAATTCCTTCTCTCGCTTGATGAAGGTTTCTGCAATTAGATCATATAGAGCTTGCCATGCATCCATTACTTCAGGTGTCGCTTTGTCACCCAAATAGTCTTTGATTGCTTGGATTAGATACTTCCCGACAACTGGATAGTGTTCCGGTTGGACTGTAATGGCGCGATGCTTGCTAGAGATGCGTGACATCTGTGGCATCATTACATCCAAATTGTCAAGATTTTGGGCGAAATAATACATAGTCTGTGCCAATGCCAAAGGCTGCTTTCCTGTTTTTTGATTCGTCTGATTGAAATAATTGCGAAATTTTGGATGTTCATTGAACAATGTAGTATAGAATTTCGTTGTTATTTCTTTCCCATGATCCTTCATAATAGATATATGTGGTTGAAGAAGATTCTTTTGTTTGTCGGTAAGACCCATTTTTGTTCTAGAACATAAAGCAGAGTTTGTTGGTTTCATTAACAGAAAACATCACGAGAACACATTATACACTAGCATCAGAGATGTGCGGTCCACGGGGTTCACCCCGCGGGCCCCGCGGGGCCACGTGGCGACGGGCGGGCGGGGAAGAAAAATTTAATTAAACGCGGGATTAACGGGGCGCGGGTATTTTCCGGCACACGGGCGGGCGGGGCGGGTAATAATTTTTTTAAACGACACGGGTCTCGGGCGGAGCGGGTATGAAATACACGGGTTCGGGCGGGTAAACATTTTTTTTCGGGTGTGATGAAAGATCGTCAAAACTTATCACGGGATGTCCTTAGTATAGGTATGTAGTACAAAGTACATATTGATTGGTTCATTACTTTCATCCTATTATGTACAAGATTGTCTACCATTTGTTTGTTTCTTTCTTTATCGTGTGTCATACGCAACTTCTACTATCAATTTATATTAAGTGAATAACTGGACTAAAACTTGTTTTATATTTAGAATTATCGTTTGAATTTTTTTGTGAATTACTACTTAGGTCCGACCAAACGTTCTGACAACATTATATAAAAATAAAAAGATAAGGAGGTATCTTTAATTTTATTTTATCAAATATTGAGGACAGTTGTCATGATTATTTATAACAAGTTTGATCCTTTCCAATGATTAGTTAAACGTTTTTTGAAGTTTTTTCGAAAAAATTTTTAGGTATCATGGATATCGCATGAGCTAATCATATTTCATTTATTGTGAAAAGTTAGCAAAATCTTGTTCGATCATATCAGTTGCATTCTAGTGCTACTAGTGATGAGATATAGATTTATTTTAGATAGGTTAGTCATAAGTTATCCGATGGTGGCTGGCTTATTGAAGATGAATCGTCAAAGACTATTGTTCATGAATAAAGATTTTAGAAAATGCTTTGTTTGGTATATTTTTTAAATCAAATACTCCTGAATGTAGATAAAGGCAAGACTGTAAGTCACAAGTATTAGGCTGAACGCTCTCCAAAACATTTTACTAATCAAATATGGAAACAAACAGAGACATCAGGTTCATAATGTACAAAATTGCTTGACGGTCATCGTTGACTTCATACTCATCTAATGTTATTAATTGCATGACAGAAGAAGGCATCAATATAATATCATATCTATCATATTCGCCAGGCCTGATACTATGTAACTTTTCGCTAACTAATTCTATTAAATGTAGTTTAACTGATTAAATAAATGAAACATGATAAGCTCGTGCGATATCTAAAAATTTTTTCGAAAAAAACTTTTAACAAATTGTTGGAAAGGTTCGAACTTGGTATAAATAATCATGCCAACTGTCCTCAATATTTGATAAAATTAAATTAAAGCTGCCTACTTACCTTTATATTTTTATATAATGTTGCCAGAACTTTTGGTCAGACCTAAGTATCATCGAATTACATCATTTATCTTATGATGAATCACTTAATAGGACAGCTTCGTCGAATACTGATCGTTCATCTACAATTATTTCTTTATCTCTCAGTCATTGCTCATCGAGTAATATTAAATGTAATTCGTCAAATATAAAAATGTTTTTAAAAGAACAAACACAAAAATACGTGCTTGTCGATAATCACAAAGTGAATCATTCAAAACCATCTCATATAGACTTGAGTTTTGTTTTTGTAAAAAATGATTTTTCATAAAAGGAATGCATCATTAAAAATAAAGTATCTGGTAAATAAAAAATTTATTCGGGTTACACGGGGACGGGTCGGGGCCCGTCGCGAAAATGGCGGGTCGGGCGGGCTGGTCCAAGAAGCTGCCTGTGCGGGGTACGGGCGGAGCGAGTATAGATTTGCCGGGGCACAGGCGGAGCGGGGATTCTCAAAAAGAATAACCACGGGGTTCGGACGGGACGGGTTTGTGAATTTTACGGGGCGGGCCCCGCGGGGGATGGAAAATCAATGCCCCGCACATCTCTGACTAGCATTGCAAGTCACAAATCATCGGAAAATGATTCAGATAGTGTTTCATCTTTAAAAGGTGACTGAGTT